ACACGTGTGCTGAAAAGTTGCGACTTTCCAGCTGGGGCTTCCAAAATGTACTTTGCGTACTACACTTGTGATTCATTTATGACACGTGTACTCAAAAGTTGCGACTTGCAGAGTGTACTTCGTATACTACGCTTGTACGTAAAAGTCGCGACTTCCGAGCTAGAGCTGCCAAAACGCTGCAAACCGATGCTGAGGAAAAACCGATACTGACCGATACTGGCATAAGGATATAAAGGTTGTCCACGGGGCTGTTTTTCCAACCCATATGGCCACTACGCGGGGGTTAAGGAAAAAGACAAATCCCAGCATTTTCTACTGTCTTCTTCACTATTACTGTATATATTTTGGGGTCAAACGTAGAAAGTAAACAAGTACTTTTTGTGTACCAACCGCTTTTCTTTTTGGTGGTCCAGGTTTTGCTGTCATCCGAGGCGGACTTTCCGGGTGCCGGAGAAGGGTCCGATCCAGGTGCTTAAGACGCGTAGCGTCAAGGAGCCACTTTTTTCGGGTGAGCAAACAGGATGGACACCCAGTTTACATTTTCAAGAGGATAATATTCCTTGTCCACTTCCAGGACTGTGCTGAACACATTGCAGACCGAGAGGGTGCAGTTTGGCAACTAGCTGCTTTAGCAGCTAACCTGTGTCTAGACGGCGCATTGGTTTGCCAGGTCCAGTTGGGCCAACCAACCGGCGCTTGCAAGAAGGGGGCCCTTTCAGCCGTGGTGTAGGGAATGTTCAATCATAAAGGTGCCAGTTATCGATTGTTACCGGTTTGCTTCCATGTCGCCTTTGTAAAGGGGTCCACAAAACAGGCTACGGATTTCTGCTCGCAGCGACCAGGACATGAATTCAGTGCTTCTAGAGTGCCCCAAGATGATGCAATGCCGTGAGCCGCCCGGAAGCAAGCGGTCACGAGAGTGTCACAAGGTTGACAAGAGCCCCACCTGTTGCTCGCCGGGTGTGGGTTGCTTGGTTGGTGTGGGTTGGATTCAAGGGAAGGCATTAATGCGGTTTGACCCAGCACGGTTCGCGTGTGCGATTGGTGTCGTTAGGTAGTGGATTGGTTTGCTGTTGTTCTGTGTGCTTGAGTGCTTGTTTGGTGGACTGCTTTATATGCCTTTTTAGGCAAATATGTGTGTGTGTGTATGTTGTTTGCCTTGTCCATTTGTTTGTTTGCTTGTGTGCCTGCTCGATTGTCTGTTTGTTTGTCTGTCTGTTTGTCTGTCTGTCTGCTTGTCTGCCTGCCTGTTTGGTTGTTTGTTTGTTTGGTTGGTCGGTGGTTTGTTGCTGTGTTTGTTTGTTTGTTTGTTTGTTTGTTTGTTTGTTTGTTGGCTTGTTGGTTTGTTGGTTTGTTTCTTTGCTTGATCGGTGGTTTGCTTGTTGTTTGTTTGCTGTGCTGTTGTGTTCGTGTTTTTGCTTGCTTTCTTGCTTGCTTGTCTGTTTGGGTGTTTGTTTTGCTTGCTTGCTTGCTTGCTTGGCTTGCTTGCTTGCTTGCTTGCTTGGTTGGTTGGTTGGTTGGTTGGTTGGTTAGTTGGTTGGTTGGTTGGTGCTGTCAAGCTCTTGCAGCTTGTTTGTTCTGTTCTTTTATCTCATGAATGTCTTGTTTTGTTGTTTACGTTCTTGTTTGGCTGTGTGTGGTTTCCCGTTGTTTGTTGAATGATGTTGTATGAGTTCTGTTTGTTTGGATGTTGTTCATCAGTGTGCCACTTGTTTGGTTCCGCAAGTGTTGCTTGATTCAGCCTGCTACGTCAGCCGCCGACACTTTGTGTCCCCAATTTGTGGTTGACAAAATCTAGACAGGAGCCCTATCGAAATGCCAGTCACACTTTCCGACGTACAGGGCTCCGTGACATGCCCTTGCATTTCCCTCAGGCTTCTTCGCCGTGCCATCTGGCTGCTGTGCCGAAACGAGGTGAGGGCGCTAGGGAACGGTGCTGAGGGAAGCTCAGCATGACTGGGGTGTGCGGCGCGTGTCATGTTTGGGAAGCCCAAGCATATTGGGGCCAGCACGCGCAGAGAAAAAGCAAGGGAGCAGGCCAGTACAAACGACACAGATAGACGCAGGCAACCACGAGCGAAGACGAAGAAGCACAGTATGCAAATGCAACACGCACGGACAAGCTCAGGAAAGCAAGCACAAACATGCGAGGAATAAAGGAAGCAAGAAAGCAAGCGGCCATGCATGCATGCCAGCAAGCATGCAAGACAATTAAGCACAGAAGAACATGTGCTTTTGCAAACCCTTCATCCTTTTGAATGCAAGCGATTTGAGTTGGGGAACGAATGCCGCAGCTGCCCACTCTGACAGGTTGTTTATTGGGCCTTGTCATGGCCTTGTCAGAGAACAACAAACGTTTGTTTGCGAATGGATTTCTGGTCTCCACCGTGTTTTTCTGTTGCAGGCCGCTGGTTCTAAGTAGTCTGGCAAGCTGAAACAGTTCAGGATGAAATCGGCTCTCGTATAGCCATCATTGCTCGCCTGAACGGTGCACTTGACAATGTCTTTAATGCGGTAGGAGGGTCACTTTTCTTACCTTGGCATGCTGCCCAGAGGGCATGATGCTAACAACGGATCATTCATCAGGTTCTGCCTTTTTCTCATTCAATCCTATCGCAACTGTTTGCGGAAGCCGTTTTATTCAAACAAAGCACCTCCGGGACACCAACAGGCAAGTGGCTTCTGGGGAAATCTTTGGCAGGCCTTGGTGCTGGGTTTCGCGGTTTTGGCCAGGAGACCACCGCCTCCTTTGATATCTTGCGGCGGCTGCTAGGCCAAGGGGGCGCAGAGCTGATGCAACGATGGGCCTCCAAGAGGCGCGCGGAACTCCTGATTCGTTTCGCCTGTGGGGCGGGGTTGGGGGCACATGCTTTGGACGTCTGGGTATGATTCTCTCAAGGAAGTCGGCCATTTCTATGACGCGCCCATTTAGCGAAACCGTCTGTGGGTCTGCAAGGCAGAGCACCGCTGCCCAACAATGTAGGCTTGTTGGAGGGGTGTCCATTTAAACGGGAAACCTTAAGAAAAGTGACCCCTGAAGGGGAAAAGTACTTGCGCGCATGCAACCTTCAGGTCTCTTGTTGGATCTTAGCTTAGCAAAACACCCTGCCTGAAGAAGAATGAACCCACGGCCTCTGAGAAGTGCCAAGCCACTTGAAGTTGTGTCTCCGAACAAGGGTTGTCCCAAAATGGGGCCTGTTTTTTTTTGCTTTCCCCCGCAATTCCATTAGCAGCACCACCCTCCCCAAAAGAAGCTACGCTCATTTACCCACAACCTCCCATTGTTTTTTGGCATTCTTCAGGAATTCTGCCAAAGCTGAGAACATGTGCCTGTTTTTGCAAAGAGGCATTGGCCAAGAGAGTTGGACATCTTGCTCCCCGAGTTCCTGGGCTTCATGTTTTTGAGAAGACCCTAGCGGCAACAAATGTTTGTTGACTTGCTTGGCAAATCCACTCAAGTTGCGAACCCTTTTCCCCTTTCCCTCCCCCCCCCTCCAGAAGTCGATGGTTGCAGCGAAGGACTGGGGAATCGACCATCGACCCTTTGAGCCCCGGGATCACAGCCGCTCGCCTTTCGCTCAGCCGCTCGCGCCCGCGTGCAGGCCGCAGCGCTCGAAGTTCACCGCCTGAATGAGGCAGATGAACAGCGCATGGGATTGATTAGCCAGGTGGAGCAAGACAAGACATAGGGAACCCTACTGAAATAGACTGCACAAAACAGGGTAGCCTTATTCTAAGCTCTCTACTGGAGGACCTAGGTGGGTCAAAGCTCAAGACTAGAGCCAACTGAGAAACCGCCTTTTTTCCCGTGGAGTCCCTCAGCTTATTGGAGGCAGATCCGCAGAAGCCATACATGCGGGGTTGGGCCAAGAATGGGCAGGAGGTCCCACTGGAAAGCCACAGGCAAGCCCAGCATAGCTGGGGGCATCGCGGAGACTCGGGATTCCACCCAAATCTTGTGGGGAAGGCTTCCGATACATGCCCAGCGGGTGGACCGACAAATGGTTTCAGTTCATGGACGGGGGAGGCTGAAGCCGAATACGCAAGACATGCAGCCAACCAAGGGCCCAGCACAAGCGAACAGCCAGCGGCTTGGTGCTGGAAGCGATGCTTCCAAAGCCGGTCTGAATCTTCCAGCAAAGCCCGGCATGGGATTCATTCTGGTTGCAAGCATTGGCACTACAGCCAGAAGAAGCAAATATATATATACATATATATATATATGTATGTATAGAGCACTCATCATACGAGCAGGTCCCTTTGTAGTCAGCCTTGCCAGTCGGTTCTCAGCTTTACCGAGCGCGCCTCTGAAAATCAGAGCCGTGCGAGCGCGGACACGGCCCGAAATGCGGGCAATAATAAAGCGCCGGTAAAAAAGCGTGAGCTGCGTTGAGGGCTGCGCCGTACAGCTACCCAACTTTCAGGGAACTAGCGTGTTTTTGGAGGGTGCCATTTTCCGGGCGGTTCACGCGGAAACCAACAGGAAAGACCACAATGTCTCTGGGGCCCCCTATTTTTTGTTGCATGTACAATGCATGTACATACCCATTTGTGGTGGCTACATAGTGGCTGTATATCTCATTGAAGCCTGGATTGGTGGTTTGGGAGAGGTGGAAACCATATTGGATGGAGGCAGATACACAGTAGCAGCAAGCTAGCCGCATGCAAGCAAGCACTCGCATGTTTCAATGGCCTTTACGCTCACATGATTCTGTTGAGGGACCTATGGCGTCGGTGGTTTAGTATCAGTCACCCGGAGAAGGCACTGGGTTTCCATTAGTTGCTTGCACCGGCGCATTGTTGATCATGGCCAGTGTTGAGGAGATAAGGCAGAGAAGGCGGAAACCAAAAGCACCACCACAACTTCTTGCGTTCCCCATTTTTTGACACAGATTCATCCCTCCCATAAACAGGCCTTCTTGTTGCGTGCCCTATTTTGGAAACACTGCTCTCCATGGGCTCCGTGCCCCGCCCAGCGGCTGAAGCCGCGGGCGTCCGAGGCCTCGGAGCTGCAGCGGCGGCTGAGGACGCGGCAGCTGCTGATCTTCGACGCCTGGCTGCGGCTCAGCGTGCTGAGCCGCAAGCGGGGCGCCCACGCGGAGGCGGGGGCTGGGGGGAGGATGAGGAGGTGGGTAGGGTGGGTGGGGTGGGTAGGGTGGGTGGGGTGGGTAGGGTGGGTGGGGCGTGGCTGGGAGGGGGGGAGGGGAGAATATTGCCTAGTTAGTTAATTCCGGTGGGTGCGATGGGGGCGATGGGGGGGATGGGGGTGGGTGGTGGAGTGCGGTTCTTTAGGGATGAGTAAATCTCAATGAGGCGCAAGGGGGGTCGGTGGGCTGTTTTTTGCTGTCTTGAATCCTTGCGAGGTTTGAAGGCTTACATCTGTGGCTCAGGCTCCATGCTGCTTGAAGTTATTTGGAGTGGCTTCTGGGTTTGCGGGGGCTGTCAAGAGCCAAGGGCCAGATTCGTAAGGGTGCCAACGACGACAGTTTGTCACGTTTGAAGGGAAGAAAAAGGGCAGAAAGGGAGAAGGCAAAGGTATTCTTGCGATGGCACGTGCCGCTCTGGCTAGCATGTGTTGCACAAGGTTGCCGCAGAAGTTCTGTGTGTGCCTGCTTCACCCGTTTGTTGCTTCGTGGGCCTCTTGACAGGCAACAGTTGGCCTTGAACTGCGCCTTTGTGAACAGCGGCGAACTGGGCCTTTTTGTGGCAAACCCGTGAAACATCAACACCAACACATTAATCGGATCTGACAATCTGAGTCTGTAAAACCGCCAAAGACGGCTTGCAACACTGAGCTGTGCGATATGTTCGTAGAAGGCAAAACTACGACTTTGGCCCGGGTTTGCCTGCAAGAAAACCTGAGAATCTCTGAGCATGCACGCTTGCTTGCTGCCTAGCCAACCTGTCACTCAGATGTTGAATCCCTTCTTTGAACAAGCAGGCATACCTCAGGGATTTCAATGCAGAAAAGCTCGAACACCTTTGGGATGTAAAGAGACGGTTACAGCTGCCGCGGCGTCGCTGGGAGGCCCTGCAGGATCGTTCAAGCCGCGTGCGCGGCACAGAGGCGAGGCTGTGGGTCCAACCAAAGAATTCTTTGGGTCCGCCTGCTTGACCTTGAGCTACTTGTAGAGGAACTGTATTGCTATGGCCTCATGTATTGCATCGGGATGTCATTCTGTAAGGAGATCTTTTCGTCTTGCGTATGTTGGCATCGCAGGGGGGGTCTCAACAACCCTTTGCGGAAGTTATTGCAACTCATTGAATGTCGAGATATGCCGATTTGATAGCTTCCCAGTCGGATCGGTCACGTTGGTGGCTGACTCGCAGCTGACGCAAGTCGTTGTTACTAAAACATGCTTGTCCGGGCCGTTTGGGATGTTGGCAGGTCGCGGAACCAACATGCTCAGCTGAAAAGCTAGGCAAATATGAGTGCGGAAAGAAGCAAGATAGAACCCGTGTTTGTAAAGAACTGCTCCTCAGGGCCTGCATGTTCAAACACCTGTTTGAAGCTATGAAATGCTCGTGAGCGAAACGTGAACGGGATGGCTTTTGCACAACCTCCAGCCAAGGGGGTCCTCAGCTCTCGAGCCATGCATGGTGTTAGGTCTGGGTTGTTTTGCAAAGCCTTGAGAAAGAGCGAGCCTGTAGAAGTTGTTTATCGTGTCATTTTTACGGTGCCTGGCTCAGGGTTGTGGGGCCCCGGAGGTGGTTGCCACTTCCGCAATACCGAGGATCGCCACATGTCACCACATTTAAGTGAGAGTTAGTGATTGGAGTGGCGTCACGGTAGCGGTCATCCCCCACTATCATGTTGCAGTCATGGGGTGTTTTTTTTGTCCACATCTAAGGGGTCATGCACGGTTTCGACCGCAGTTTGCTCATACACTCGTACAGATATGCGCTGATATGCTTGTGTCAACCGCCTTTGCTACTAGGGTGTCCATCCATTGTCGCATAAGCGTAGAGCCCCGTTCTAATGTTGCCCCTGCGATTAAGTAGGAAATGACCGTTCCGGGTGTTGGGAATGAACCATTCAGAATTCCCTGAAAGGAAACCAACTCGGGGACATTTTTTCTTGGGGGCATTCTTTTCTAGGAAGCCAAATCGGGGATATGTTTCCCACTGAGTGGACACTATCATCTTTTTTTGCGGGTTTCCCCAATGGTCATCCCATGTAACGGACCTTTTGATCAACCCCCCATACTGTGGATGGACGAAATCCTGCACCATCTAAGAAACCCTGGAATGATGATTCCACAGTAAATGCCAACACACAATGGTGTCCCATGGTTTTAAAGTGGTGTAGGATTGCATCCATCCACAGTATGTATATACATTATACATATATACCCATAGGCATATATATATATATATTAAGATATGTATACACAAATATTCTTAATTTCCCTTGTTGGTTTCAAAAAGGAATTTATCACTACTGGAGATATGTTTGTTTTTGTCCAGGGGTCTTAACCAAATGGAAGATATGTACATATCTACCTTTGGAGGGGTCATCCCATTTCTCATTCCTTGGCTATCGAACAGGTGGCCCTCGCCTGGCTGCAGCACGGGCGCCGCCGCGCGGCGGCCGCGCAGCTGGGCGCCGTGCTGGCGGGAGCCCAAAACCAAAAACCGCGTTGCCGCGCTGGGCCGGCGGAGGGCGTGGTTTTCGAATTGTGGTTATAACATGGGGTCGTTATTTTGGCGGTTTCTGGGGGTGATCAAAGTGAGCAATTGGGGTTGTTTCCCTTTAAGCCACCACTTCGAGAGGCATAAACCCCAGAAAGCCAAAATCCATGGAGGAGGGTAACCCCATTTAAATTTGTGAGTAGGCGGCCAAGTGGAAGCCACCAATGGGTTCCTTCGATTCAATTGAGCCGAGCTCACCTGAGATGGGGTAAAACTAGCGCCATGATGGTTCCTTCTTTGGGGGATGGCAGTTTTCCGAAAAGCAAGTTGCACAGTTTTATCGAAGGCTTGCGCTGCCCAACCACCTTTCCCTAGGGGGAGAGAGGGGATGTCACAAACGATGACGACAAAACAACCACTACATGACCATATATAGACCACATTTTCCGGCCGGGGGGTCATAGTTTGGGGATGGTGGAAACCCTCTTAGACTTCGACGGTTGACATAAATCCCCATGTAAATCATGTCCGCTATAGTCCCTAATTATTTTCTTTGAAGGGCCCTTTGGCTTCCCTGTTAGTCGGGCCACGGGCAAAACCCTAAAGGAGTCCCCACGTTGTCAACCTGCACCCAGTAATTCGAGTTGCCATGCTAGGCAGTCGGGGTGTTTAACCTTGGGTCTCAGATGGTTCTTCTGGCTATCTACAGTAGGAATGAGCCGGAAGAACTGGCACAGGTGAGTGGGATATCAAAGCCTTTTGGATGGCCTCACAAGTGGTGTTCACAGGCCACAGCTCGTAGCCGATGAGAAAGCCAAAACTGCCTTCAGTGGCAGATTCTGATCATTTACTTGAGGATTACGTTTCATGTTTTTTGCCTAGTATGCAAATTAGGAATGGCATAGGCCACTGGTAGAAGAGGCAACGTCAAAGATTAGAAAGTAATGGCCCTGCTGCGGAACAAGCCTGCACGAGAAATGACGGCCTGGCTTGTTTCGAACCACAAATGCAGGTCGGTTAGGCAAAACCTGAGCAGCTGACAGAAGCTGATGGAAGCGCTGGTTCTTTTGGATGTCACCAGCAATGCAAGGCAATTCAAGGCAACAAACCAACCACAAGGATCGGCAAAACCTCAGCCAATGGAGTCAGCTTTATCGCTCTGAGCCTTGCAGGCGCGTGCCAACACCCGCTGGATAGGGGAGGAGGAGAGCGGGCGGGGCTCATTCGCTGCAAGGTTCGGACGATCGTATGTGTTACATGTTCGGCTGATTCAAGAATTCTGTGATACAATCTTCTGAGTGATGCATGTTTCGTTTGAGAGAGCTGTTTGAGGTGTCTCAAGCAGGTTGCGATTGCAGGGCCAAGTTTTGGGAAGTATCCACCGAGGTCTAGTGTGTGAGACACATGAATTGACGGTTGGCGGCAACGGTGCCTTTTCTTGGTCAGCAATGCAGCCCAACTGGGCTTTGGGGATGCTGATGGTGCGGGTCTTCGAAACATATGTGCAACGAAGAGGCCGACGCACCAAATCACCACAGTGCACATCACACGGGCCACCCCAACAACCCCAACCCCCCCAACCCGCAAGGGAACCTTGCAACAGAGACCTTAAGGTACTCACCAGCGTTTTTGCCGCTCTCGCAAGCCACACCAGGAATGGATGCGCCGCGCCCTGGTGGACAAAAGCCTGCAAAGCGTCTTCCAGCGGTTTGCCGAGGAGCGGGAAAAGTTTCTCTGGATGTTTTTGAGATGAAGCGTGGCTCATGAGCCAAATGAGGGTCCACAGAGAGTGGCCAAAGAAGGCAGAGTCTCCAACACTTCATTCCTCCCTTTTCCACCGTTTTCATTGGGTTCCCCACCAAAAAAACATCTTTGGCCTCAAAAAAAGGTTCCCTTTTGATTTTCGGGCAGGTCCTCTCGGTGCCCTTGATTCCAGGCTCTGGATCAGCAGGGCTCCGGCCCGCAGGCGGGCTCTTCGTCCTGGAAATCAACCCCTGACGAACCAAACCCGCGGGCAGGGTTCCAATTTGGTGGGCGGGAAAGAGATCTCAAAATGCACATGGTTCGGAAGGACCCTTTAAGAAAAGTCAATGGGCATAGAGGCCTGCAGTGCAGCGAGTTCCCCTTATATTTTGCTGATTCAATGAATCATTTTCTGCCAGCCTCCGCTCACTTTTGAGGATATAGCTGGCCACAGAAGTGTTTGAGCTCATGTCCATTTTTTTGCTCAACATCGGATACGAGCAAGCAGCGTGTGTGTGTGTGTGTGCAGAGGCATATTTGGACTTGGTAATCATATTTCCGCTTCGTGTGTTTGATTATGCAACTACATCGTACACAGAAACGCAGATACACGAACACACGCGCACACACAGACGCGCATGCGTACACAAGCCTTGTGCATCAGGCACCTGTATGACCCTGGCCTCATGGCTTAGGAGCTCCGGGATCAGTCCTCAAGGATTCCCACGGCGCCCCAATGTCTTGACGGCACGAGGCCGTTGTCTCTAGTGGCAGAATAATGCAATCCTGGGGTAGGTGCATCTAGTCAGTAAATATGTCATCATGAGCACATGTATGCACAGACGCATACCTATATATGTATATACACATGTGCGCTTGTGTATATGTACATGTACAAATCTGAATGTGTATATGTACGTATAGATATATAGATATATATATATATATATACATACGTGCATATGCACACATTCGTGTTGTCATTACCTAGGGCGGTTCAACGGGTACACCAGCGCTACTCGGCTTCCCCTCAGGCGCAGGGGTCCTTGATGATGCGGGGCACCTTCCAGTCGGTGGTGGCCATGGTCTGGGTGGGCCGCCCCGGAGACCGGATCACGAAGCCAAATGGGCAGGGAAGCATTTGGAGACCGACATTCTGGCTCTTGTTTTTGGGAGTGAGTGCAATGCTGATGGAATTGAGGGGAAGGAAGGGTGTGTGAGTGTGTGTGTGTGTGTGTTGGTCTGTGTTGGCTGCTTGCTTGCTTGCTTGCTTGCTTGCTTGCTTGCTTGCTTGCTTGCTTGCTTGCTTGCTTGCTTGCTTGCTTGCTTGCTTGCTTGCTTGCTTGCTTGCTTGCTTGCTTGCTTGCTTGCTTGCTTGCTTGCTTGCTTGCTTGCTTGCTTGCTTGCTTGCTTGCTTGCTTGCTTGCTTGCTTGCTTGCTTGCTTGCTTGCTTGCTTGCTTGCTTGCTTGCTTGCTTGCTTGCTTGCTTGCTTGCTTGCTTGCTTGCTTGCTTGCTTGCTTGCTTGCTTGCTTCTTCTTCAACTTGTTGTCTTGTTGTTCCTTGCTTTCCAGCAGTTGGATGAATGGCATGGATTTCTGCCTGGCGAGATCACAACATCAGAGGGGGCGTAGCGTACGAGGGCACGCCCACTGTCCTTCGCAGCCCTTTGAGGATTGGGCTGTTGGGAGAGTGTTGAACCTGGTCGTTCTAAGAGTGTGCCTACTTCAAGCATGTAGGCCTACTCTCCAGAGGAATTGTGCTGAGGGCTGAGCCAGCTTGCAGCAGTGCAACTCAACTTCAACATATGCGGCGCACACACGCACACACACACACAGGATGCACGTCAATTCGCCCTTTCTGGCGACAGAGAACAACAGATGGCGCCCACTCCTACGTGGCGCAGTTGACTCTTTGGATTGCAAGGGTCAATATTTTGCTCTATTGTTAGAAAGTGACTAGCCGTGTTTGTGGGGCATTTAGCTTCGCATTCTTGTTGTTAGAAAACATGGCAGTCGGTGCCAGCTGGAGTTGGCCAGCTGGTAGTCAGAAGCGTCATCCGTCTCGTTCCAGTTGCCAGCTTGTGCCTGACTCGTGGGCGGCCCAAGGCTCGGCAACAACTCTCTGTCGTGCTGGGCAGGCAGGAGCTGCATTGCTGACGTGCGATCCCTCTTTGTTAAATCTGGAAGCCGTGCAGTCCACATTCGAGGGCCGAACAGGGCAGAGAGAGCCAGATGGGTTCACATTGGTCGTTTGTTAGAATGTGAACTCTCATTCCGGAGATTTTTCAAACAGGCTATGTACTTTGGAAGGCAACGAATGCTAGACGAGTGAACAATAAATGCCCTACAACCAACGTGGCTAACACCCTCAGGCGAGTTGTAGCAACTTCGTTCAAAAAGGGACTACTGGGTCCATTCCAGCACCATCAAAACTACCCTCTAAATGGTGGAATTTCTTGCACGAGTGACAGCTTCCGCGTTTGCTTCCCCAAGCAACACGCTCAACTTGTAGACCTGCGGGTTCTGCGAAACCATCGGTCCGGACCTAAGCATACAGAGGACGCCACCCCAAAAGTCCTGTTGAAATCCCTGCCAGCGCTTCCTGGAGCAACTCGCATCCGCAGGCTCCGGGGCTACTTCCAGCCCTGGCTGCTGGGCCTTTGGCCGAAGAGCGCCTGGCCGTTGCTGGCGCCCAACGACCCCTACTTTCTACAGGCAGCCAGGCACTCAGACAGCTGCTTCGCCGGGTGTGCAAGTGCATGCACATGTGGGAAAAAATCCTACAACAGCTCGGGCTTGTGTTCATGCACATGGCATTCTGGCAGATATGGCACGAGTGCATACTAGTGGATCCAATATTGGCATGCATCGTGTGAAGCCGTTGCATTTCGAGGCTAGCTTGCTCCCGAGTTTGTTTCGGGGTGCGTTGCTCATGTTGACACCTTGCATGTAGTGAGAGGAATAGATAGAAACGCAGCTGTATGCCACCTCGCTCCTATTCACCCGAAATGGACCTCTAATAGCTGCCCATAGAATGAGTGTTTTCATGTGGTTTCGAACCATTTTAGGGACAGCCGTTTGTGGGGCTCTTTGCTCTCTTTTGCTTTCTCAATTAGGTTGATTTGTTTGCCATGGCGTTCCTTCAGGGAGCTAGGGTTTGGTGAGGGAGGGCTGGAGTCCAGCGGCTGGAGTGAAGGAAAAAGGCACGGTGACCGCTTTGCCGCTTTGATGATTGGTGTGGACATTTTCTCGTGTTCTAGTCTTCCAACATTTTGAGAGCGCACATGCACACAATGCGCTCATCTTTTTCTGCACACCAGCTCAAGTGCCCAGCGCCACCAGTCATCGCCTCCATGCGTCCACAAGTTTCCGTGCCAAGGAAATCCGGCTCCGCGTCATGATGTCCAAGCTGGATGCGGTACGAGCGCAGGCGGCCATCCATCATCGGGCCCTTTTGACAAGAAAGCGGATGAGCCCAATGCAAGCTGAACACTCCCGAATTTAATCGTGAGAAAACGGCCATCCCGCCTTGAGTTTGCACACGTCCGGCTGTCGCGGGAGGAGCAGGGCCCCGCCATCTACAAGCTTATGCAAGGAGACGGGTCACGGTGCGGTGGCAAAGAGGTCGTGAGATCAGTTTAGGTATTTCTGTTTGCCTACGTCTTGAAGGGAAATGCGGCAGCTGGAATTCCTTCTTTGCTTCAACTTTCCAGTGGAACTGAGGTCCCCTCCAGACGCTCTAACTGAAGGTGGGGGTGGCAACTGCAAATTGGCACAATTTCGTGACACCCCCTCGCTGGCTCACGTTTGGGGACCTTTTCTTTACTGATCAATATCACATTGCGCCTGGACTTGCTGCTGCGCATGAAGTTGAGGCATCCCGGCCTGCCGTGGTTGGATAGATGTTGTTCGAAACATGGTTGCAATATTCATGATTACTTCGGAACCTGAATGAAGTCCTCCTGCATGGACGTCCCAATTAGGTCCTGTGTGGTTCTGGAGCGTGTCACTGCCCCTTGGGCTGATCGAATAGCCTCAATAGAAGGCTACTTTGCTGCTTATCCCCTGCAAGAACATACTTCCCAATGTCATGCGTGCACGTTTGGATGGGCTGGGATTAGCTGTATGTTGCAACGTTGCAACTATCGAGCACTTAATCACCACCGCAGCCCAGAGAGCCTAGGCTCTTCAGGCTGTGCTCCAGTTTTCTGAGCTGAGGCTGTTGGTCTGGGGTTGGTCAGCCTCCTACCTCCCCATACCTCGTTCTGATGGTACCCCATGCCGGACGTGCTGCTTTTGCCGCCTGAGGTCGGCACAGCGATTACTTACCTGGCAGGCATGAGATGGCTGGAATCCTCATCTTTCCCTTGCGCAGTTGTTTGTTGGCAAGCGAGCCCACAGTCGACTGCAATGTGTGTTGACACGCGGTTTCAACGGAAGAACCTACTCATATATATATATATATACACATATATATACACACTTTAGATATGAGTGTGTGTGTGTGTGGGTGCATGCATGTGTGCGTTCTACCTTGCATTTCCCAGGCATGGTGAATCATTCAAGTGAATATGGAAGAACGCAATCCGGGACAAGGGAAGGTGTACCTGCTGAAATTGCAAGGCCCATGTGTTGAGAAGCCATCGTGGGGAGGCAGATAGGGGAATCCGGAATGGAATCCCACGCCGAGATGGTACAGATCTGGATGTTCTGGTTTCTGATGTGTTTGCACTTCATTCCTGTTATGGCTCAGGTCAGAAGTTGCTGCATATAGCCTGTGTTTCCTATTATTTCTTTTCACGGGACCATTTGGCGCTGTGAGCCTGCCATAAAGGGGTCTTAGGAAAGCAACTTGGGATATGTGTATGAGTGCTTGGTTTTTGCAGAGTACCCCGTTTGGGTGAGTTGAAGGGAAACCAAACAGACAACTACCATTCTAGCGGGGTCCTCTTACTTTGACACAACCTCATCTGAAGTATTTGTGAGCGAGTGGCTGTTGAACGGCTTCTGGTGTAGTGAGGTTGTCTGTTATTTCGACGGAGTGCTGAACATCCGAACATGTGTTCTCGTGGTCCACTGGTCCACACTGGCAACAAAATGGTTCTCTTTTACTACCAAGGAAGCCAAGCAATTTAGTTACATTGCATAAAAGCCCTTAGCCACGAAAAATGTGCAAGCGCCAGGCTCAACCATCGGGAGGGTGGATATCTAAACCCAAGTCAGAAGTAAAATGGATGCAGCAAACTCTGCATCAGTTGGTGACCCTTGTTGGTGTTTTATCCCAGCACTTGTAGGGTTTTATCCATTCCAACTGGCGCAGGACGTTGAATAATTTTGTCTATCCGCAGTATCAGCCAGCCATATTTGGCGCTTACTCAGCTTACTCACCCTGTACTTGCTCACCCGGTATTTACTCCAAGTTTGGGGTTGTGGTCCAGAGGGCTTGATGGTGAAGCCTCAGACATGTACTGAGGGCACATTCGGGCGACTGCACCTTGAGGAATTCCACCCCGCCCAGGAAGTGGAGTTGCTCTAGATTCTGGGTTGCAGGCTTCCACATGTCTTTGGCAGCCTGGTCGGCTTTTTTGTGGCTGCATATCTTGATATGCATTTACAAGTAAGACAGTAGACAGTGTAGATTGGTTTGGAGCAACCTATGTTCCTATTATTCTGCTGACGTAGCATGTCCGCCTCCTTGCAAACCAGCCTTGACACGCGCAGGCGCTTGCGGATTTGCTGGTGGTCCACCATCCAGGCAGGGTTTTCCTTTATCAGGGCCGGGCTTGGCCATGTGGCCTAAATGATAGATATAATGGGGCCGTGGGGTGCTGAAGAGTTAGATTACCTCCTTATCCTGGGAGTCTGAGGTGTGTGATAGCTTAGCCCCAATACTCAGCTCGCCGGCGGAAGGCCCGGGGCCAGTTCCCGGCTGAGCCTTGCCCAGGCGTGCGGCAAAACGTGGAGCCGGTGGCGACCAAAGGCTGGAGAATTCCTTTTGAAGCGCAGGGGCAGCGGGCGTTTTGTTATGCATCATGCCAAGCTCCAGCTTTCACGGGATTTTGGGTTCGACTGAGCGAAGCAAGTTGTCTTCACTCGATGTTGCAGTTGCTCAATGGGACGCTGACAAAGACAGGCTCTCGGATTAGCCAACCTTGGGCGGCCTTGTCCTGCTTTCCTCTTTGCGATTTTCATGTTTACAAGGAAAGCCCCTTTAAACTGACACAGTAGTATACTTTTTGGGGAGGAGGCGATGGCCCATCAAACACATGCAATATGTCGCGCCGTGAGTCCTAAGGCCCGCAACATCGACTCGAGCATTTTATAGTGAGATCATTTGCGGGACGAGGGGGGCCTCGCGCAATGCTTTCGAACAGCACCATGCGCCCAGACATCTTGAGAAACCATTGCTCATGCCTGACGTTGGGTAGGAACTTGCTGAACATCCCAGAAGGTCGACCCAAAAATAATTTTGAATACGACCGAGCCTCAAACCACACAAGAACCCAAGATCAGTGCGTTGGTAAGCGAGTGACACGCAATCCTATTCAGACAGGGACCATGTGTTGCCCAAGGCTTTCCATTTACGATTTGTTGGGGAAGGCCGCGTTCTCGACTTGAGCTACCTACCCTGTCCAACGGTCCCTCAGAACTGGGTGGGCTCCGAAGAGTTTTGACCCGCAGGCGTCGTGGCTTTGCCGCAGTTCGGCAACATCAGGCGGGCTGCAAGGGCTCGGCCAGGAGTTTGCTTTGACGCTGACCCCCCTTTTGGTCGGGTTTAAAGGGCAGACCATGTTTTGGGTCCCCTTTTGTGTCAACCCACATGGTCAAGCTTCGGAAGCCAAGCCTTTGTCAGCGTTGCCCTTCCAAATGATTGGCTTCCAGTTGGAGGGGTTGGCAACCTGCGATCCATCTGGATTTGCCAGCTTGCATCCTTTTGCAGGCGTCACTGGGCTCCCCTGAAGTTGGAATCTACTGGTGACTTTTGAAGGTCCAAACAGGATATTGAGGAACCCCAACAAGGAAACTTGGCCCATAAAAGCCAAAAACCCAGCGTGGTCCGAACCAAACATGAGGATTCGGGCGCTCACTTGGGTGCTTTTCTGGCCCATGCTTGGTTTACCAGCTCTTTTCGCCCCGCGAAAAGGGGATCCGCACCCTGTCGCCAGGCTGGATCCCAAGCAGCGCGCCTGGCCGGAGCCCAAGCGGGGCTAGACCATGCGTTGGTGGAGGGTACCCTTGGGTCGCAAGTGGTTGCAGTTTTGGAGGAAGGGTTCTCATTGTATTATGTTATTTTTGGGTTTTGCTTGAAACCGTTTAAATGATCTCGATAATTTTAGAGTTTGGGTCACTTTGAGCACAACTCCTTTCTTTTTGAAATGAAACCACAATTTTGAGAAATGAATATTTAGGAGGAGGGAAAATACTTTGCAGAGGGCATTCCTGAGGCTCACCGGTGTTGTTAATGATTGGTTTCGGATTTATCTTCTCAAATGGGGAAGCCTCAGGGTTTGCCAGTGAAACTTTGAGAAACCCAACCCCAACAAGGGAAAGCAGACCCTGGCCCCAGTTTCCGCGGCAACGCCATTTTTGGAGGCTCGACGCCGGCTGCACCACATGGGCACATTTAAGGGGAACGCAGCTCAATACGCAGAACTGGGGGAACTTTTGCACTGGCGTGCTCCCTTTTGCCTTCCTATTGCTGAAAGGGTAGCCTCGCCGCGGCCACGTGTTGCGCGTGGAAGGGTGGTTGATCTTTTGATTCCACGCTTTTGAGGACTTAGCAGCTGGGTCAATCCGTGACTGCTTTTGCGCTGGAAGCCGGTGCTCAGGCTTCTGCCGTTCGGCTGTCGGGCCCTCAAATCCGGGCTTCTGTGGACACGTGACATATCCTCACCCCCTTAATCACCGAAAACAGGTGTTCGGAAATGTAACTTACACTTTGTGGGTCCCCCCCTCCCCCCAAAAAAGCGAATGGTTTGGCCCCCCCCCCCCCCCAATGGTTTGGCCCCCCCCAGAACAAACAGTAAGCCCCTCCTCCCAGTTGTTCCTTTCCGATGGGTTTTGATGGGGATGGCCCAGTCTAAGTTTCATTTAAACAGGACCCCCCCCCCTCCCCACATTGGGT